TCTTTATTGGGACTAACCATTGATCGTTGATTATGTGTAAGTATATAGGACGGTTGTGGAAATTGTTGTGGAACTAAAAACGGTTGAGAATAACCATTTGAAATTTGTTGATTAATATACTAAAACAACAAAACGTAAAAAAGATTTATTTAAATTCATTATTATTGAACATATTTACTTGCTGAGGATTCATTCGTGATGCATATTCTAGAAGAAAATAAATATTTATAAAGGATTTTAAAAGATTTTGATTTCTTTTGAGGGTGTGGGTATGGATGTTTGTCTACGTTTTACTGACAAGAAGACACACGGGTCGCCAAAGTCACAGTCACACCAATCACCGACGCCCACATCTGCTTGGATGCTCCAAGTGACTGAGAGTCCTTACAGAAATAATAGGCAGAGTTCTACCAAGATTTTATGAAATTTTATTTGAAGTCTATTTTGAATTCTGATACGAGAATGCAGTTAAGAATTCTAGTTATATTAGAGAAGGATCTTAACAAGAATAAAAGATGATTCGTCAGAATCCTAACCTCAAAAATCCTGTCCAGTTTCGATCCGAAACCTACTCCTAATATTTTTGGAAATAAGCGTTTTCGGAGCGTTACAAGATAATACTAAACTTTGACCAGAATCTTAATGATAAAATGCAAAGACCTACATAATTTAGACCATGTCAAGTTGGTGTTTATAGTGCATTCAGAATTTGGTTTCGTGAGGATCTCCTCACAAAACTGAATGTAAAAGTTCCATCAAGATTTTAGATGGTTTTTGGCCAGGATCTGCTCAAGATTTACCAGCCTTTAGATGACAGCACGAATTTTATTCCCAATGTTGAGAAAAATCTCAAAAATAATCGACGGGAGAATTGTTAAAACTTTTAATTATGTTTTGTTTTGGAATCTGACACAATTCAAGAGCATATCATGATATTATCTAGATCATAGTTGAATCTTTGTATAAACAAACAGAGAACTTCTGAACAAATCCCATAAGACTGTTATAAGACCTCTTAAAGACTTCCATTTACATTGATTTCAAGATGTAGGCAGAAATTTCTTTTTCGATTAGGCATCGTTGAAATCCTATCAGAAAAGATGTAAAGCTACACAGGCTCCTTCTAATACGTAGTTTCAAATTCCGTAAGAATCTTCCAATGTTGTGCCTGCACGTTTTTTTTTTCAGGATCTATAGTCATCTGAACCAATTCGAGCTTTTTAGACGTAGTGGTGGACTGCTCAGGATCTTCATTAAATCCTATTTTAAATCTTATCAAGATCTCGAAATGCTGTGGCTACATGCTTTCTCTAGATTCAGTCGTTTCCTCATTAGAAAAGCCAGTGAGTCCTTGCAGGATTCTCATTGGACTTTGTCAAAGATCTAATGCAGAAACACCAAACATTTTCGCTAGAAAAGGGCACTGAAGAATCAATTGACAAAAAAGATTTTAAGAAAATCGAGGTGTTTGAGAAACCGAATAAACGCAAAAAATCCTAGGGACTCGACATATTGAAAGTCCTGCAAGATTTCGAGAAACGGAAGCAAACTCATGCACTCAGAAATCTGAAATATTTTGAGGAACTCACTCAGAAGGAATCAAAGATAATTAGTCAAAACAGGAGACTGAGAAAATTTGTACAAGCTGGACCTTTTTTGAGAAACAAAAGAAGTCTGAGAGAGTTGAGGGTTCTAAGAAACTCTGAGAGTCAATACACATCCAGAAAGGAAAGGAATTGAAGTAGTTCAGTGCATCGAAATTATCCTAAGAAATTCAGGACTTCATGGAAGCTAACGAATTCAACAAATCATGAAAACATCGAGGTATTCAAGAACTATCAGATATCTAATGAATCTAAATCATCAAAGCACCCGATATAATGAAAAAAACAAACCAAGGAATCTAATTACAGTAATTAATACAATAAATCTAATGAGTCAAAAGAACATTAACAATCCAGAAAGCAGATGACATCGAAAAAACGGCTGAATTCAATGCATCTAACGAACTCAAGGAATCCTAAGAAGTCTATAAGTTTTGACACCAATTTGAATTGAAGGAAATTTAGAACCAAGAAAGCCAAAGGAATCGTAGGAATTGAGACAAGCATATGAACTAAAATATTTTGTAAATTTTAAGCAGCTCGATTAATCCAATATAATCTAGAAAACTGGGCAATTCAAGAGCTTTTCGATGGTGAAAGATTTCGTAGAATACGAACAATATGATTGTTTCCACGCACATCCACACACCTACATCCGACACCCTAAGCCCATACATCGATACATTCCACATCATCAGGCTGCATTCTTTCTTTAGGATTTAGTCGTCTCCTCAAGGAAAACCTGCGAATCCTCTCAGAACCCTTATTGAATCTGGCAACAATATAGTGCGGATAAACATTACCTCAGTGAGTAAAAAGATGAAAGCAATCCATGGCTATTTTTGGAAACCTATATTTCAGCTATTTTCTTCTTAGGATGCCCTCGGTCATCCATCGTTTTTATTCATTCCTTAACCTTACCTTTGTATCCCAAGGAAATTATTTCAATAGAAAATGTAAAGAAATACAATTGAACACAAATAAAGCATCTGCGTTCACGAAAGAGAGTCATACTTTAATATGGTCTCTTCAAAGAAAGCCTATTTTACGAAAATAATGATTCCCCATCAAGTTTGATCGCAGATTACTGAGCCAAGAAATTTGAATCTCCTTGGATAGAATTGTGGGGTGCGTGCGTGAAGAAGTCTGCAGATGTGGATTACCTTACTGAACAGCTACGTTTACACTCGCACCCTCATCATATATTCGTCATTAAACCGGAAGGCTTGTGTTCTCGAAGTATAAGCGCACCTGTTTGATACTTTTATAGCTATGCTCGTACTTAGTGTACTTGTTAGCAACTCGAAAAAAAAGCATCAAAACAAAAATAGAACATTCTACTCTATCAAGTGTGTTGAACTCATTCAAAAGTACATCGTATGACGAAAAATATGAATTAATAACTAATATGTTTAGCATAGCTCACGTATGTTATTCGCTCAGAACTTAATTTTTGCATTTATTAACAACTGCTCTATCTTCCACGTCAATCTTGTAGAAGATTGCAATTTTAGTATGAGTATTCAGGGTTCTATCATATTTTTTCTGGTAGATTATTCACTCAAGTTTATAAAGCATTTTATGAAAGAAGAAAGATTTCTGGTGAAAATTCATAAAATGCTAAGGCCAATGTCACATATATGTGGGCAACAATTGATAAGTTACCTTGGCTCTGCATGATGCTCACATGCTTGAGAACATCACCCACAGCTTTCTGTAATTCATCGATGCCGTTGACATTGTGTTCAACTGTGATAGGTAGTTTGAGCTTTTTTAAGTCTTCTGCAATTTTGTTGATGCTATCGGTCAATGCTTTCTCCATTTTTAATAGCATTGCTTCATCATTGGTCGAAAGAATATCCTCAAATTCTTTTTCGTGTTCATTGAGCTTCTGTTTTTTGCAGATTAGTTCATCTTGATAGTCTTCAATCAGTTTCATTTGGTTTCTGCCGATCTCGCCAATCCTTTCTTTTAGTGCTCTCTCGTATTCATCGATTGTTGCACGTATAGACGCAAACGTTTCAGTGATTCTGTCTTTGATAATGTTTTCACTTGAACTGATCATTTGTTTCGCATGTTGTAAAGCTTTCTCCAAAGATGATTGTGTACTTTTCAATCTGTCCTTCAACTATATTCCATGAAAGGCTGTTTATGAAAGAAATGTACGCACATAATTGACTACTAACCTCTTTCTCTACGTCTTTTATAACGTCAATAATGACTACCACCTTATGGTCATGGTGTTTAGACAACTGACAGTCACGACAAATTACTTTCTTACAGTTGTAACACCAACACTTTAGATTTTCATCCGGATGTATTTCGCATCGCACAGGTTCCGAAGGTTTTTGCTGAATGGGCACCCTTTCATGTGTGCTTATAGCTGGTGGTGCATGAACAATATTACTGCACTTCAAGCAATAGCTACTTTCGCATTTCTTGCACCAAATTTCAGCTTCGGTGGAACAATTATTGGAACATTGTATGACAGCTGCAATCAAACAAAAGAAGAGTGGCATTTGAGAATATTAGACCACAAGCAAATTTTTACTAATATAAATAACAATTCCCCGGGAAAAAAGGCTGTAGTTTACACTGTTTCATTGAAATTTTTCCTACAGAAAAATAATACCGAAAATTTAAAAAAAACTGAACATTCTGATGATGAAACAGCCACATTCGTGCAAATGATACACTTTACATTCAAATTATGCCGCTAAAATCATGGGAAACATCAAAAGCATATGCTCGAAAAATAGCGGTGTAGTTATTGAGCTACGTGCGTCTCCTGTAGACTCAGGTACAAGAGTTTTACCTGAGTCTTTCGAAGGGTTCCGTAGCGAACTTTCAAAAAGTTCATTTTACTTTATACCTAGCGTAAAGTGTAGATAAGTACAACATTGAATTTGACTATTTATGCTACGAGAGAGCAGGACACGACATCCTTCATCTCTTTACACATTTAGTTTTTACAAGAAACAAAATGTGTGAGAACTAAAGTACATATAAAATCTAAATTAACCATTATTTATCGTTTATTGTAATTGATTGACTTTGAATTTTCAGAATCATCAAACTGATGAAAATTCTCAAAATAAACATTTAAATGAAATTCTTTTTTATGCTTTATTTCCTAGGTTGTACATAATCCTGAACTGATTTCTATAAAACGTTGAGAGATAATCGCCCGCTTTTAGCAGAGCACAATATATTCTGAACTCAAATACGATGAAAATACACGCTCACATATGTCTCGGCCTCGATTACATTTTCGTATCATTTTTGCTAAAACTTCGACGATATTGCACATAGCACGGTTGATCAGCAAAGAGTCGACGCGATCTCTATGATCCTGATTTCATCACAGTAGGGACATTCGAACTGATCATTGCTGTTAGTAGCTACATCATGCATGCATCGAAAAAGATAGATATGCGAGCGACGGAGTATACGTGAATCAGTAAAATAGTCAAGACATATCGTGCAAGTGGTCGGATCGTTGACCTGTTATTTTTCTCGTTTAGATAATAGTTTCGTACCTGGACTATTCGATGCCATGCCAAGAAATCAATAATAATATGGTTGAAGC